GGTGGGTATCACCCCACTGTGATGCTTTCATGGATTAGACAGGAATTTACTCATACTTAACATTTTCCCTCTCTTCTTCTTTGTTTTCTTTCTTTTATAATAGACCTTCGAGCGTGTTACAAGACTGAGGACTCAGAGAGGGGAGGTCCTATTTATAATTTAATTCCTGTCCTAAACAGCCCAGTGGGCGGAACTAACCCTATTGTGATGCTGTCATGGTTCTATCCAGTTAAATAAATTTACGGTAAGTATTAGTAAATTTTCTAACTTCTTAAAGAAAGGTATTGCAGAACTAAAAAATCACCAGGTTCAAGATACAAAAGGGGATAGAAAACAGTTGTAAAGAAAAATGCATTTGTTTTCTTTAGAAAAAAAAGGACTATCATAGGGAATATGATAGCATTATACAAATATATACAGGGTCAGTACAAACTGCTATCTATTAACCTGTTCATAAGCAGGAACATAGACAAGAGGTCGCCCATTCAGACTTAAAGCAATACATTCTTTTACAGTAGAGGAAAGAGTAAGAATAATAAAAAAATATGGGATTCTCTACCTAGAAGTTGTCTTGTCAAATTCTATTGCTTCTATTATCAGAGTCTTTTGATATTTTTTACAAAAGTCCTGGATATTCTTTTGAATATTCAAGGAAATAAATAATATATGTGTGAACAATGTGTTGATCCAAGCAGAAATTGAATTGCCAAGAAAGATTTTGTTCCGTTTTTGCTTGTTAACTGGTTTTAAAGCCTTGCCTTTCATGGTCAGTTCGTTGTTACTATTTCTGGAAGCATTTTACCTACTCCTGACTCTCTGGTTTGGTGAAAGTATTTATGGACTACCAATAATGCATACTAGCTGCCGGCCCTGATCTTTGGATTTGTGTTATACCCTGAATTTGTAGCTTCCCTTGTCTGTATGGCACTTCCGGATCTGTCCTCCTGCACAACCCCTATGCACACATTCACTCTGCAAGTGATTTATCTAACTAGTCACCATGGGCTGTGATATTTTGCAAGGTCAACCCCAGTTAAGACCTTACATACCTAACTGACCCTCCATCGAGTCTGCAGGGGTGTTTAAAATTCACAGTGCTTTTACTCAGCAGGTGTCCCACCTATCCCAGTCTGTTCACGTGAAGCTGGAATTTGCCACATTTATAGAAATGGTACACCATGCCCAGGAACATTTATATTTTAAAACCTGATGTTGATCTGCCTGACAACTTCTCTGGCAGGAAGTCTAATAACAGCTCATTTAAAATGGATTGTCAGGTACTGTTCTCCCTGAAACCACATACCTACAGAGTATGTTAAAGTGCAAACCCTGTTATCTGGGCAACTTGAAGACTGGGCACACCAGCTGCTACTTGCAAAAAGCCCTGCTCTGGGCTTCTGGAACTCCTTGACATTTGCACTGTCGTTGTTCGGCATGTGCTATAAACTTTAACTTTAATAATACACGGACACGTTTAATACTGTTGGAGTATAACGTCCACAGCTTTATTAATATGAATAAATTAACATAATTAGGGTCATTGTCATAAATGACATTATTTATTATCCCCCCGCACAATCCCCTGACAATGACCCTACCACATGAACAATAATTAACATCAATTACCAATAAACTTGTAAACATCCGGCCTACCAACGAGGCCCCATATCATAATGATAACTGTAGGGGTGTACCCAGACACCCCTACACCCCCAGGTTCGTCGCCACCGAAGAGCTAGAACCTACCAACCATGACACCGTCTGGCCTACTTCAGCCTAGGCCCTGGCCTGTACAGTTCCAATTCCTTGATAACTTCCAACTTAACCACGCCCTGTTCCCGCCGCTGTGACAAAACGGGAAATTCACCTCAACACAGGGAGGGTGGGTGGGACAACTGACAGGTAAGTGAAGTTCTGATTAAAATGGCCACTCTCTAAGATGGCCGTTATTTCAACCCCCTTTGATCCCGCCCCCAAGCTCCATTAGCTTAAGCCAACCCCTAACTGACTGCACCTGCCCACTCCTGGCTCTGTCAAGGCCCACTCCCCTTACTTCGTTGTTCCATGGGCTTCATGACATTTGCACTGTCGTTGTTCGGCATGTGCTATAAACTTTAACTTTAATAATACACGGACACTTTTAATACTGTTGGAGTATAACGTCCACAGCTTTATTAATATGAATAAATTAACATAATTAGGGTCATTGTCATAAATGACATTATTTATTATCCCCCCGCACAATCCCCTGACAATGACCCTACCACATGAACAATAATTAACATCAATTACCAATAAACTTGTAAACATCCGGCCTACCAACGAGGCCCCATATCATAATGATAACTGTAGGGGTGTACCCAGACACCCCTACACCCCCAGGTTCGTCGCCACCGAAGAGCTAGAACCTACCAACCATGACACCGTCTGGCCTACTTCAGCCTAGGCCCTGGCCTGTACAGTTCCAATTCCTTGATAACTTCCAACTTAACCACGCCCTGTTCCGCCACAGCACTTGTCTTGACCCCTTAAGACCATGTGCGACCCCCACCACACTGAAACAGGGCTCGGGCTATGCCCTCCTGGAACCCCAAGTTCAGCAAGTCACACCCCACTTCTGACAGGTGTACTCCATCCCTCCTATAATAACCTGGCAACATGCCCTCCAGTTCCCGATGCCTCACCACTATTCCTCCCATCCTCTTAACAAATACTGCCATAGCTCTATTAACCTTCCCCCTGCATCGTGCCACCGCAGCAGGGTCCCTGGCGTGACGCCATGTAAAACAAGGCACCATCTCGGACCACACCACCACCACGTCAGGGACCAGCTCCCGTAGCCGATCCATGTCCCTCTTCATTCGCCACAACAGTTCCCGTTGCGGAATCAGCCCTAAGTCATTCCCCCCACCGTGCACCACTACAACATCCGGACCCTTGGACACTTTTGTAAATAAAACATTACTCAAGCTCTGCCAACTAAAACCTCGAAAACCAAACCAGGATAAGACCGCTCGTTCCAGAGGAAAGCCCAGTTGTGTTCCTTGTCTCCGAACTGCGGCCCTCTTCTGTGCCCAATATACGAACGAGTGTCCCAGCAACCAAACATTCCAACCTGAAAAGAGACAAAATTAATTACACCGCAGAGCCAATGTCCCCCAGTCCCGGCCATTTAACCCCTCAAAGCTCCACCATCCCGTCGGGCCTCACATACGAGCGAAACCGCACGGATTCCCACCGTCCGATCCTCTTGATCCGCTCGTCACCCAAACCCAAGCGTGCCGCCTCTGTAGCCGCACCGATACGGAACGAATGCGACCCGAATTGCGTGGGCTGCAGGCCCAGCTTCACTAAGCCCAAACGAAAAATCCTAATGAATTGAAACCGTGACAACGCCGTGCCGTCAGCGTGCAGGAAAAAACAACCGCTAACGTTAGGACGGATCCCCAGGTACCCTGATCCGCAGGCCACCGGGCACAACCCTGATCCCGGCAACTCGAATAGCACCACGGAGCAGCCTTTGCCGAAAACATCAGTTTTCGATCGGCCCAACCTAATCTGCACGCGATCACTCTTAACTTCCACATCCTCGCGCTGCAAGCCACCAACTCCCACTTTGTTTGCGCTAACCAGCTCCCCGATCCGAAACGCCCCAAAAAACGCCCAGACAAACGCACCAGAAAAAAGGACCACCTCAAATGGCGAGGAACATAACTCCGGTAACTTTCCCACCAAACCTTGTAAGACCGCAAAAGACACCGGTCTCCTAACGTCCGTCGACGTCTTCCCCCTCCGAAAACCCCGAACCGCCTGTCGAACCAAGAAATGCTTTGTCAAATCTTCCCACCCTTGAAATTTAAACCAGAAAGCCAAGGCGGACATATGCCTGTCCACCATGGCCGGCGAAGCCCCCTTTGCAAACAACCGGCACAACAACCATAGGAAGACATCCAGCCTATGGCCCTCCGAAAGGTCCCCACCTACCTCCTCAACCGTTTCCTCCCATTCCTTCCAAACCTTAGCATAAGATGACCACGTGCTCGGTGCCAAGGATTTCTTTATGTATTCCCCAAGCACGATGTCCCGAGTCGCCACATCTCGTCTGGGCAAGCCTGCCCGCATTCCCGTGCCTCTGGAGCCGCTTCCCGAAAACGATCCCACTGAAAACGAGAAAGCGCATCAGCCACCACATTTGAGAATCCCGGAATGTGTCTAGCCCTGAATACTAAATTGGAAGACATGCAGAGGAGCACCAAATGCCGTAGTAGGCATAGGACTGGAAGCGAAGATGCCGACAAACTGTTGATTGCCTGCACCACGGCCATATTGTCCGAATAAAACACGACTCGCTTGTTTGCTAGTTCAGCTCCCCACAATGCTACCGCAACCACTACAGGGAAGAGTTCCAAAAATGCCAGATTCTTGATCAATGGGCTCGCCCTCCATGCCTCGGGCCATGCCTCGGCACACCACCGTCCCGCAAAATAAGCCCCGAACCCCACGCTGCCCGAAGCGTCCGTAAACAGCCCCACTGCTTCCGAAGACACCACTTGCTCCCTAAAAAAGGCCTTGCCATTGAAGTCCCTCAAAAAACGATCCCACACCTCTAAGTCCGCCTTCATGTCCGCGGAAACCCTGATATAGTGTGACGGCATCCGTATCCTGCTCGTCGCCCGCGCCAATCGTCTACAGAAAACCCTCCCCATGGGTATGACCCTGCACGCAAAGTTCAGGCTCCCTACCAGAGACTGTAATCCCCTCAGCGTCACTTTCCGTGCTCTCCCAATTGTGTGCACCAAATCTTTCAGTTTGTGCAACTTGTCCTGTGGTAATCTACATTCCCCGATCTCCGAATCGATCTCCAAACTCAGAAAACTAAGACACGTGGCGGGTCCCACGGTCTTGTCCTCCGCCAAAGGAACCCCCATCGTCTGCGCTACCCATTGGAACACCCGTAGTATCTGCTTGCACCGGTCTGAGCCTCGAGGGACGACACATAAGAAGTCGTCCAGGTAATGCACAACCGTGCCCCCGGCCGATTCCCGTCGCACTACCCATTCCAGAAAAGTGCTAAACTTCTCGAAATAGGCGCACGAGATGGAACAACCCATCGGCAAGCACAGATCCACAAAGAAGCCCCCTTCAAAACAACACCCCAAGAGGTGATGACATGACGGGTGTATGGGAAGCAGCCGAAACGCTGCCTCCACGTCCACCTTCGCCATCAGCGAACAGAGTGCTGCGTCGATGTCATCATTCACCGATGACCCTTTAGGATACGATAAGTGATGAATCAACCTGAATTTGCCAGCCTCTTTTTTGGGGACCACTCCAAGTGGGGATATCCGCAACTCCGCTATAGGAGGATACGGGAACGGCCCCGCCATCCTCCCCAAAAGGACCTCTTTGGCCAGCTTTTCCCGCACTACCTCCGGGCGTTCCCGCACCGATTTAAGATTGGCACAAACCGCCCCTGGTTCCTTAACCGTGAAGGGGATCATGAAGCCCTCCCTATAACCCCGCCACAGGAACGCTGCATCCTCCTGGTTAGCGTATTGCCTTAGCCAAGGCAACATCGCGCCTACCCTCACTGGGGACGCCCCCAGTTGCAGCCGAGGTGGCCGCCACCCCTGCGGTTCCACCCCCTGTATTGAGCTTACCTTTTTTGAAGCATCTGCTGGCGCCGTGATTCCCTCCGCAGCCCGAACACTCGTGCCTAAATCGGCATGAAGTACCCCACTTGCATTGACCCTCGTTGTACGTCCAGCACAGGCCCTTCTTCTGTCCCGCTGGCACAGCCACGCCTGAGGCTGTCCCAGCTGCCCCGAGAAAGGGCGCAGCCTTCTGCGCCATCATAATCCTCATCCATAGCGGCAGGTCCATTTGGTCCCACCGCATGGTAGGGTTGGCCGCCAAGCGTTGCCGAAACTGCTCATCATATTTCCACCACGCTAGGCCCCCATACGTCCGATACGCATCGCCTATCCCATCCAAGTAGCAGAACAGTTGCGAACAGCTCCCTGGCCTTTTTTCCCCTATCACACTAGCCAGGATGCAGAACGCCCTCAGCCAATTCCCAAAAGTCTTCGGTATCTTGCGATACCTCCGCCTTTTTTCTTCTTCCTCCTTCTTGGCGTCCTTCTTATCCTCCTCCTTCAAGTCTAGGAATTCCTCCAAAGGGAGCAAGGAAAAATTTCCATGAACTCCCCTTTCCAAATCTTTTCTTTGACCTCTAATTTCAGGTGACAACCTAGGGGGCCCGCAAAGGATACGTGTACGTTTTGACGTGCCGCGTCCGAAAATGTCGCCACAACCGACTGCCGACTCAGCCCCCCCATCCGCCGCACCGGACGCCACTACCGCTTCGCTTGTCTCGCCACCGCTCGCCGGTTGGCCCACCGCCCCTAGTGCCTTAACCGCCGTGTCAGGGGACCATACCTTTCCGAACTGCAATGGTGATTCCCCCTTCCCTGACCATGCCTCCAATAATGTTTTTAAATAGCCCAATAACTGTCCGGAGTGTTGTGCAGATATGGACTCACCGTTGCAGCCCCCTTCCGTCCACCCGTTCAGGCTCCGGAGCATCCGGTTGACGCCGACTCCCATCCGCCTGATCCCTCCTCAGGACCGTAGGGGTAGCGCTCCGCGACCTGTAAGGAGAAGACAACCTGGGTAGTCTGTACTGCTGGGCCCCTACCCATCCAGGCGGCGCCGGCCGCTTCCCAGTGCTGTCCGACCCTCTTGCCTCCTGGCTGGGTGCCGACGGGCTCCTCCGCCGCCGTGGAGCGGGCGCCATGCCCGGACTCAAGCGCTGGGGCGGCCGTGCTCTTCGCGCCGTCCTGCGCTCCGCTGGTGCTGGAGGGGGAACTGCAGCCCCCAGTTGCTCATGCAGCCAGGCCAGCCCTCAGTCCTTCACTGCTGCTCTCACTCCGGCCAGGATCTCATCCAGGGACGCCATGGACCTGCAGAAAAAGAAAAAAGAAAAACCCCACAGACCTGACACAACTAACAGGTAAGTGAAGTTCTGATTAAAATGGCCACTCTCTAAGATGGCCGTTATTTTAACCCCCTTTAATCCCGCCCCCAAGCTCCATTAGCTTAAGCCAACCCCTAACTGACTGCACCTGCCCACTCCTGGCTCTGTCAAGGCCCACTCCCCTTACTTCGTTGCTCCATGGGCTTCAATACACACTTTGCCCCCTATACACACACACACTCTTTACAGCCCCTAGCCACACATATTACACCATAAACATGAATGAAATCAACCTATTTACACAATACCACACCACAATCAGCTCACTCTACACACACACAATCCCAGAAGCAGGCTCCAAACACATGCACAATACTTTTTCCTGGCCCTTTTGTCATCTGGTATCCTACTTATGGAGACACCAGAGACATGTTAAAAGCAAAGAGCGCAAGCATGTTATTAAATGTGCTTGCGCTGCGCAGAACAAATACATTGCCTTTTTCTCATGCTAGAGCTCTTCAGAAGGGCCCTGTGCATTGAACCAACATGCTCACTTTGAGAGGGGGCTTGCTTGTCATTAGTAATGACAAAACACACCCTCTCTGGCTCCGCTGTGATCAGTGGCGTACACATGATCCATGGGGCCCTGGTGTGAAAATTGATCCATGCCTCGGCGCTTGCTCTGCGCGGGCTGCAACACATGGTGATGTGACCCTTGCGACTGCGGTATGTATGCCAGTGCATGCAGATACACATACACTTAAAGGACCACTATAGGCACACAGATTACTTCAGCTCAATGAAGTGGTCTGGGGGCCAGGCCCCTCTTAACCCTGCAGCTGAAAACATAGCACTACTATGTATCACTGAGGGTTAATCCAGCCTCTAGTAGCTGTCTCACCGCTAGAGGTGTTTCCGCGATTCTCACTGTGAAAATCACAGTGAGAAGACACTGGACGTCCATAGGAAAGCATTGAGTAATGCTTTCCTATGGGCGGTTTGAATGCGCGCACCTCTTGCCGCGCATGTGCATTTGGAGCTGAGAGGCGGATCGGGCGGAGAGATCCCCGGGGCCAAGAGAGCCCGGCGCTGGAGAAAGGTAAGTGCTGAAGGGATTTTAACCACACACTCTCACGAATAGACGTATATACACTAGCTAACAGACACTTACTGACAGATACACACTCAGTGACAGACATACATACACACACACACACACTCACTTACAAAACATACACTCTCACTGACAAACACACACTCACTAACAGATACCAAACAGACTCACTAACAGACACACTCAGTAACACTCACTGACACACACACACTGACACTCACGAACAGACGTATATACACTAGCTAACAGACACTTACTGACAGATACACACTCAGTGACAGACATACATACACACACACACTCACTTACAAAACATACACTCTCACTGACAAACACACACTCACTAACAGATACCAAACAGACTCACTAACAGACACACACAGTAACACTCACTGACACACACACACTGACACTCACTAGCAGACACTCAATAACACACACACAAACTAGCACACACTCAATAACAGACACACACAAACTAACACACACAGTAACACACACACAAACTAACACTCACTGATACTCACTAGCAGACACACACTCAATAACAGACACACACTCAATAACACACAACTAACACACAACTAACACACTCAGTAACAGACACACACACAGTAACACACTCACTGACACACAAAAACTAACACACACACACACTAACACACATACACACTCACGTTTTTTTAAATTTAATCCCCTAGCCTTCCTACCTTTAGGAGTGCTGAGGGGATTCCAGATTTCCCTGGGGTCTCCTCCTGTTCAGCTCCCTTGCGCGCCGCTTACTGATGCCAGAGCCGGAGTGACGTCATACTCCGGCTCCGGCATCACTGCGGTGCGCGCTCAGGGGCACCCCAGGAGAATAGGCTGGCAAACTGGCATACATACCCCGGTGGCAGGGCGGCTGGGCCCCCTGGTGGGCTGGGCCCGGTCGCAGCTGCGACAACTGCGCCCCCTGCGACCGCGGTATGTACGCCAGTGGCTGTGAGTGGAAAAATGCCTGGACTGAATTTTTTCCCAGTCCGGCCCTGGCAGGATCAGAAGATGTTTACCCTCTCCCTGTGTGCACATAACTGTAAGTGCTCAGCTCTGGCACTAAGAGAGGGACCCCAGTCAGCACTACTTCATATCTACAATATGTTAACTGTTTACCTGCTGTTAATCACTGTTTAGTAGATATAAAGAAATCACTGTTTAGTAGATATAACTCCAATGAAAATGTCTGTATTTAATTATGCACTGTTTCATTGGGGGTCATATCTAAGAACACCCTGCACAAGCTGCAGAACTCTTGTCATTTTTT